AATTAACATGATGCAAATTTTTATGCTTCCTCCTCAAATGTAATTCATTTTTTAAATTTATTGGTTGGTTTTGTATTTCACACAGAACATCCAAAACCATCTTATGCATCTATACACCCACTTCCCAGATGGCACCCTCCCATAGCCTCCCCCTGCCCCCACTAGAGCCCTTTTACTCTGTCTTTCCTGCTACTGTCTGCAGTGTTGTCGGCACCCCCAGCTGTTCCCGAGTACTTGTCCATCTGGTGAATCTAGTCAGCCTATCTAGAGTTCTGGATGTTAAACCTCTGTCAGATGTGTCACTGGTGAAGATTTTTTCCCATTCTGTGGGTTTTCTCTTCACTTTTTTGTTTCTTTTGCTGTACAGAAACTTTTTAGTTTAATTAAGTCCCACTTGTTGATTGCTGATCTTAATTCCTGAGCAAATCCACATCCTCTTCAGCATTTGGTGTCATTGGTCCCCTTGATCTTAGCCAGACTGACTTGGGTAAGGTGTAACCTTAAGGTGGTTTTAATTTGCATTTCCCAAATTACTAACAATGTTAACACTCTTTAAGATGTTTCTTAGCCATCTTTATTCCTTTGAACTCTGTTTAGATCTTTAGCCCATCTTTTAATTGGGTCATTTGGTTTCTCAATTCTTTGTTTTTTTTATTTCTTTATATATTCTGGATGGTAAACCTCTGTCAGATGTGTTACTAGTGAAGATTTTTTTTTTAATTGCATGTACTCAGGTTTAGATCTTCAGTGATGTTCCATTGATCTATGTGTGTATTTTTGTAACAGTACCATGCTGTTTTTATGACTATAGTTCTGTAGTATACTTTGTGATCTGGTATAGTAATCCCCCCAGCATTGCTCTTAGTGTTCGGGGTTGCTTTGGCTAAGCGAGATCTTTTGTGCTTCCATATGAATCTTAGGATTTTTATTTCCAATTCTGTGAAAAATGTCATGGGGATTTTGATTGGCATTGCAGTGAAACTATAAATGGCTTTTGGTAGGATGGTCTTTTTCACAATATTAATTCTTCCAATCTGTGAGCATGGGAGGTCCTTCCATCTCCTGGTGTTTTCCTCAATCTCTTTCTTCAACGAGTTAAAAATTTCATTGTAGAGATCTTTGGTGTCTTTGGTTAGATTTATTCCAAGATATTCAAATTTTTTTTTTTGCAGCAATTGTGAATGGGAGCATTTCCCTGTGCTCTTTGTCCAATTGCTTGTTATTGGTATATAAAGAGACTCCTGATTTTTGTAGATTGATTTTATAACCTGCCGCTATACTGAAAGTGTTGGTAAGTTCTAGTTTTTTGGTGGAACTTTTGGAATCTCTTAGGCATGCTGTCATATGTTCTGCAAAAAGTGATAGTTTGACCTCTTCTTTTCCAATTAGTATCCATTAACTTTCTTCTCCTGTCTTATTGCTCTAGCAAGAGTTTCAAGCACTGTGTTAAAAAAGAGTGGGGATAGTGGACATCCTTGTCTGGTTCCTGATTTTAATGGGAATGCTTCCAGTTTTTCTCCATTTAGATTGATGTTGGCTGTGGGTTTGTTGTATATAGCTTAAATTATGTCGAGGTAGGTACCCTCCAGTCCAATTTCCTCTAGCACTTTCTTTTCTGCATCTATTGAGATGACAATGTGGTTTTTGTCTTTGAGCCCATTTATATGATTAATAACATTTATTGACTTGCATATATGGAACCATCCCTGCATCTCTGGGATAAAGCCTACTTGATAATGGTGGATGATCTTTTTAATGTGTGTCTGTATGCAGTTTGTATTTTGTTGAGTATTTTTGCATCTATGTTCTTTAAGGATATGGATCTATAGTTTTCCTTTTTGGTTGTGTCTTTCCATGGTTTGGGTAGTAGAGTGATGCTGGCTTCATTGAAGCAGTTTAGGAGTTCTCCCTCTGTTTCTATCATTTTGAATAATTTAAGTAGTATTGTTTGGAGGTCATCTTTAAATGTCTGGTAGAATTCTGCTGTAAATCCATCTGGGCCTCAGCTTTTTTTAGTTGGGAGGCTTTTTATTACTGTTTGAATTTCCTTATATGTTATGGGTCTGTTTAAACTGTTGATCTCCTCTTCGTTTAACTTTGCTGGTTCCCATGATTTCAGATATCCATCCATTTCCTTTATATTTTCAGATTTAGTAGCATACAGGTTTTTAAAATACTCCCTTACGGTGTTCTGGATCTTTATGGTGTCTGTTGTGATGTTTCCACTTTCATTTCTGATTTTGTTGATTTGGAGTTGCCTTCTTTTTTTCTTCTGATTAACCGGGCTACTATTCT